AGTCAAAAATATGGTGATCTAGCTCAGCAAAAAGATTGTGTATGGACGATGAAGCCAGAACATATGGACAATGAACAATGAAGCCAGAACAGAAGTGGTCAGAGCATATAAGTGTCTGCTTTCTGAGAACAGAACAGTATGGACAATGCAACACTAACCAGGACAAAAGTGGTCAGAACATATAAACATCTGCTTTTTGGGTGACCACTTTTCTTGATGAACATTTTGTATCAACTGTTTTCATAGTACTTCATCCTTAGGGATGTTTATCATGTTAATGCAAGTCTAATTTCAATCAATATAATAGTATACTGTAAAAAACTAAAAATAAATTGCTTACTGATGAAATGTCCTGGGAAGTTTTCTTTTGATTTTTGATTCTGTCACTTGACCCTTCACTATTACTTCTTATACTTTTTGCATCAGGAATGACTTTACCCATTGCTATGAAATTTTCTGAGTTTAATTCAAATTTTTAATTTCAATTGGCACCAAAACTTCTTCAGGTCTCCAATTTTTTTTTAAAATTGGACATTTTTTAATGATATTTACAGTAACCACTAAACTCAAAAGGCAAAAATTGAGAGTTTATCATGTTTTCAATTCCTGAGAGTACTGGCAAATTTATTTTATTTTTTTAGAAAAGTTTAATTATTGTGCATCTGATGAGTCAAAGAATTAGAAAACACTATTACACAAAGTCAAAAGTAATACTTTATTATAACAATAGAATTATTTATACAATAGTGAGTGCAACTATATTTAAGATTATAAAATCTACTGTGCATCAAGCAGTTTATCCCATTAACCTTACAATATACAATAATGCAAGAAGTAATGTGTCTCATTACAAAATAGGGTTTCCCAAAGCAGTTCTAAAATTCAGCTGATTATCAATGATCTATGCTGTTAATAATTACAGTAATTTGGCAGTTTGATTGCTTGAATTAAAAACAAAAGGTCTAGGACTCAACAGAAAGAAATATTTCTTAACATCAAATATTAAAGATAGTTTGAAGCATTCATACAATTGAAGGTTTTAGAAAGTTTGATTATCAACTACATTTACATAAAGCAATATCAATTATGTTATATTGCCTGCGAATATACTAAGTTGCAATTATTCTTCTCTAGCTTCTAACACATTTTAATCTTGATGTGATTCCATGGAACTATAAAATAATATATGATATGTTGTATGTATGTAATAAATATACAAATAGTAAGGAGTAAGAACCATTTTTGGTGTCAATGTTTTATATATTGACTATTTAAGATTTTAAGTCTATTTTTGCGATTGATAAACTGTGACTAAAATATGTTTTTCAGTGTCACTGTCTTTTACAAAAGAATATGCAAATACATTCACAATTTTGCCATGAAGCAATGGCGATGGCTCAAAATGTTTTATTTGGAATTGGTGGAATTATATTTATATATACATCAACAATGATGGTTTGTCCATAAGGTTTGTCCTATGGGCGCCCTTCATACTGGTCGACAAATATTGATATTTTCGAAAAAGAAAATTAAATTCTGCCTACCCGTTTTTCACAATATGAAGCTCCAACGATCTGGCATCATTTACAACAAGTTGCACACTTGAAAAACCAAAATTGACTGCATAAAAGAGGATTTAATGTCAACTTTGTCCATTTCCGCAATACAAAATATACAAATTATCACGCTCCGTGGGAACGACCAATATGGCCGCCGCACGTAAACTGCGACTGCGATCAGGCTTCAATTTTCGCCTGCCTACAGGGTGGGTGCGCTATCTAGTGTATATGAGATATCTATGGTTTCGGCACGCGTGGTGGATGTCGGATGTCAGATGTCAGATTTCCGATGTCAGATTTCCGATCGTCGTTGATAGCCACAAAATAGAATATTAATGTTGCCTAATTTTTCCCCCAATTATCCATAAGGCTTCTGCCAATTTTACCCAAATTATCCATAAATAACCTTGCATTTTGAGGAAAATTCGGGAAAATTGAACAATTTTACAAGGAATTTCGCATAGAAACAGCAACCTTCGCAAATCGCAAGTAAGTTTATAAAGTTTTATAGAGAACCGAAGCAACACCGTTCGATTCAGCGTAAGAAATTGTACTAACGGATGTCAAGTGTATTACAAAACACCAGGGGCCGGTTGTATCAAGCCCGTTTAGCTTAAACGGTGGTTAAGCTCAAAAAAGAAAGCAAGTATATAAATCAATTCAACAACCAAACTAAAAGTTTTGAACCTTAATAGAACGATATTGTTTATAACTACATATTCAACGCACAATATTTAAGTTAACCGATTCACGAGAGATATAAGAGTGTTATTTAATTTTGACTTATCCACCGTTTAAGCTAAACGGGCTTGATACAACCGGCCCCAGTATTCTAGCGATTTATGGCCTTTGAAAATCAAGCGACATTGTATTTGTTGATAAATCGTTCGCAGTACGTATACTATTGTTGAGAAATCACTCGCGCTACAAACCTTCAAGATTGTATTTGTAATGCCTAATGGCGCAATAAGGATAAAAATACCACCGTTCGATTCAGCGTAAGAAATTGTACTCACGGATGTCAAATGTATTACAAAACAGCAGTATTCTAGCGATTTATGGCCTTTGAAAATCAAGCGAAATTGGTCAAATTGTATTGTTTACGTAATTGTTGACAAATAGCTCGCAGTACGTTTCATAGTGTTTTGTAATGCATTAGTGTTTGGATAATGCATATATCCACCGTTCCATTCAGCGTTAGAAATTGTACTAATTACGGGTGTCAAATGTATACTAAACAACCGTATTCTAGCGGATTTATAGCCTTTGTCTTTGAAAATCAAGCGAAATTATGTTCTTGATAAATCGCTCAAAATTATTATTTAAACTAATTATAAAAATACAGTACGTTTTATCCTTGATGACTTTGGTATCATTGGTTTTCTCTTTTTCGGCCCATACCAGTGGATTCATCTCTCTCCAGTCTTCATTTTGATAGTATTTTGAGCTCAAAAATTTTTTATTTTCAACGTTTTAAAGCGCAGTTTAATCCTAGGCCTAGCGTACAGACCAACTGGCGGCTGACAGTTCTTGAAGAAGGTTGCAGCGTACTAAATATAACTCAACCTTGCAAGCCAGGTCTTTCAGCCTGCGCTGCGAGGTTGAATATAACTTTACTTGTAGTGTAGGGTAGGGCCTACCGCATTTTAGTACTGTGTTAAGCCTTTCGCGCTCGTTTTCGACTTTTCCGCTATGTATTGGTGTATGATCATGTACAGTAATGTGCGTATTTGTATAGCCCCAGCGAGTTAACGCTCCGTAGAGCGTCTTGTTTTATAATTATTATACCTTTGAAAAATAGTTCAACTTATATAAATAACTATTAGTACATTACCATTCCAGCAATACCTGTAAATAGGTCATGCATTTGAATAAAATAATAATAATATAAATAAAAAAGTGCTCCATACAGTATAAAGAACGAAAAAAGTATTTCTTGAATAATAGCATAGTTGCCCGGGTTTCTTTTGTTTCAACAGGGACGTTTAATCACGTATCGCCCGCTGTAGCGGGCGATTAGTTCTAATCGCCCGCTAGAGCGGGCGATTAGAACTAATCGCCCGTTACCAAGGGTCACACCTTTGTCTCCCTGACGACTACGCATTAGGCAAGTGCCTCACGCACATAATCGTGCAAGGAACAGCAACAGTTAGCTCAGAGCCGTCAATAGTCTATCATCCGATCCCTGAGTTGCCGCATCATTTAAATTACGCACGTGCAGTCTCCAAATTTATACTAATATATTTAGCGTGTTTGTTGTGGTACGTTAAATGATAGATTGCGCATGCGTAACCGATTAAAGCGTAAAAGTGCGCATGTGCAACAAGCTTTTACATCCCACAAGCAATGAAGCAAATGTTTTAGCTTAAATACGCTGATTCCAAGTAGGGCATGTTTGTCCATTTTTAAATGGGAGCGAAACTATGTTATTACAAACTAATAGCATGGCTTTTCGGGAGATTAGTGATTAAATGACCCCTTACCCTCGGCAGGTTTGCGGAATTCCCTCGGGCTTCGCCCTCGGGAATTCCGCAAACCTGCCTCGGGTTACGGGGCCATTTAATCACTAATCTCCCTCAAGCCATGCTATTACTTATAATAAGTACTAAAGTACCTCAGTTCGCACGTCATACCACAGTTAAGCTCGTTGCTTGTTTACGCTTCAAGCATACGTCATGCTTTCGTCTATTTGCGTTTGCTGAAACGTGCCGTATCTATATACTGTTTGCGCGCAATTTATTCCTTAGTCACTGGTTGTGTACTATAGCTGCATCAAATGAATACTATTCTGGGCCGTAATTAATTTAATTCCTTTCTGGCCTTATCAGTCAAGAAATTATGTTTTCACAACAGGCGTATTAACCACCGAGGCTGGAGCGCTCTATATATACTTCTTAGTCGATCATACTCACGCGACAGAGTCCGAGTGAAGAACCATTTATTTGACTAGGTTAATTTATACTTATAATTTACAATATCAGTTTACGTAACATAGTGTACACTTTTTATCACGTTCTCAGTTCTCTGCTGTGATTATTTATATCCAGTGTTGCTTTGAGACGGATACCTCTTCCAGATTTCATTATACAGGCATGCTGGAAGTGGTCTAGAGTTTTCACATCCGAGCATGGCGAATAACGCCGAATATCCATGCATCTCACTATCCACCGATATACGCCACTGCACGAAGGTATCAAAGTATCTAAACATTAACAATCGAACACTGAGACTGAGTTATTACCTTCACGAATGCACTGTTTCAAAGCAATAGATAGATTATTTAAAATACACGTTTCAAAATCTTACAAAATACAACCATTTGCGATTATTGCGAATATATATAGAAAATACTGATGAAAACTGACCAAAATTTAGTGAAATTAATTTGACTTACTCATTTTGCCCGTCTTGAGTTCTGCTTGTTGTTTTGCGGTTATATACTGTTCGAGTGTTCGGTGCGTAATAACAGGATAGTCCCAGTGCTATATAATACATTCAGCGTCTTTTCCATCGTACGTAAATTTGGCCATGCATTCAAGAATCTCAAATGTGCACCTAAAATCAATTCACATGTTAAACGAAACACGCTAATAAATAATTCGAGAAACGCTTTGATATTAGACTGCTTTGTTAAACTTACCATGAACTAACAGCTACGGTTTTCGTAAATCTTGCCTCAAGACCGTCGTCGCCTGTTTTGTCTTCCTCATAGTCATTAGTCACGATCAGCAACTGGCTCGAACTGGTAGGGCTGTACAACAGACGATTGTGGCTCAACAACGTCCTCGTTATCTGTTGGCTGTTCTGTATCTGTCTGTGATTCAAAGCTTTCGCTATCGGACATTTTTTGCGTTTTTAAGGAAAAATATACAAGCTACTGTCTTGCGATTAGTGATATTTTGTAGTTTTCATTCAAGTAAACACTTGGAGTTGGATGTGTCACACTGCATACGTCACAAGGCCGGAATTTTCGGTACCAGTCTTTTCATCAGGTAACGATTCAAAATAGCTGTATTTGTCGTACATTTTAGGTCATTTTCAATACTTTTAGAGCGCTTTTACTAACTAAAAATATTTTTACCTAGTTAAGGGAGGTCATTTCTTTCCAAATTTCGAAATTTTAAATTTTTCATTTTTCCTTGCATATACACTTTAAGCTGACCAATTCATTTGATCAAGTTCCTCGAGATATTCATACACTTCCTGTGAAACAGCCAATTCCAAGTATTTGATCATTTCTGATCACTTCCTTTCTATTTATGATTGGTTAGTTGCACAAACAACAAAGGTGATTGGTGCATTCAAACTATTCAACAGGAAGTTTACAATTATACTAGGAAGTGTATGAATATTTCGAGGAACTTGATGAAATGAATTGGTCAGCCCAAGGTAATGTATTGAATCAATATTTGAGCAACACTTCAATTGGAACGACAGTAAAAAAATGGACCTAAACAATAT